TTAAATTTTACTCTTAAATTTATATAACTATATAATATAATAAACTTATATAATTTATATTAAAATACAGAGTCTATTGCTTTCTGAAGCCATAATTAAAAATGAGCTAAATGAAGTGGCTATATTTTTATGAAACAGGCCATAAAGCATAGGGTTTCTACTTTGCCAGTTTATGATATTTTATTCGGTAAAAGGCAAACATAATACATATTGTCAACACTGTCCACTGAAGATGATAAACTGCAAGAGGAAACATATGCTATGTTATGACACTGACAGAAAAAAAGAAGGTTTTGACAAAGTGTGTACATATATAAAATTGTTCTAGCCTTTTTCTCTTTTTGAAGACATTCAATACTTAAATAAAAAAAAAGGCAAAACAATTTTGGGGAACCCTCTAAATTTCTTGTACCTGAAACATTCAGCTTCTTCAAAGTAAAAGATTTGTTCTGCAAATGCAAACACTTTAAAGAGCTTCCTGCAGACACATTTTATCGGTACTAGATAATAACATGCCACTATTCACTTACAAGAACTGCATCTGAGTACACTATATTAATTTAACATGCAATAATCCTATGGTTCCTCATATGTTTATACCACTACAAAACTTACAGATACAAACATTAAGATTATTATACTCTATTAAGAGATCCCYGAGTAAGCATTTTTAGCAGTAAATCTATAGGAGTAGCTGTTCTCCACAGTCAAATGTGGGTCACCAGGTCTGAACTAGGGAACCTGGATTGAAACTTTGATTGTAGTGCAACTCAGAGCAAGCAGGAGGAAGAACAGACCAACTCTCCAAGGTTAACTGGAGCTCTAGAGAGTACCCACTACCACATAAGCAAGAAGTTATTGCACTGCCTTTCACTGATGCAAATATATGCCAAGCATTGCATGTATGCCAAGTGGGCACAGGACGGACCAAAATGTACCCTCAGGAAAAAACAGTTCAATGTAAACTCCTGCACATATTCAGTAATTGCTACCTGCTGTCAAGGAACTACAAGTATCCTCAAGTAAAATACCACACCACCAACAACACCTTTTCTTTAGGTAAACTAATAGGAATGCCTTGATAGACATGTGGAAGACAGCAGGATGAAGAACCCCATGGACACAGTCAGTGTTGCACAAGGGTGCCTGTGCAAAACATTTAATCAGGCTAACACGTACCAGCCATCAKACACTGCCACACAAATGCTGCGACTCCTACCTCCCCACAGTCACACGTGGGCAAGCACCCTTCATGTGCCAGCCCACGGCCAGTTCTGATATTGTCACTGCTGAGACCTGCCCCACGCTGGGTGCGCAGGGGACATCACACATCCTGCACAGGGATGACACTAGCCAGGAAGGACAGCTAGTGCAGTCTCCATGTCATGCCTTCTCTATAATGTACTAGCCAGCTCAAATCTATAATGAATCCTTCCAAGATCCCTGCCATCTTTCCTCTACTGCAGCTGTATCACGAAAGCAGTCAAAGTTGTGGCTTTTTGGTTTTTTTAGTAAATCATGTAAACATACTTCTACAGTTGTGGATTATGTGAATATTTGATGCATTTGCATGAGTCCTATTCCCCACACTACAGTAGCATAAGCCTATCCCTTTTAAGCCCCAAGAAAGGTAATGAATGGAGCTGCAAAAGACACTGCTCATCGGAAAAAAAAAAAATTTCAAGGTTGTCATCTTTTTCACCTAAGATACAGAAAGGCCATCAGGAAACTGTGACATAGCAAGCATTCTCTATTTGGTACCTGTGCCATCATAAAAAAAAAAGGTACCATAAAACAAGTGGAGCAAATGCAACTTTGTTGCTTTGCAATCAACTATCCTTCAAAGAGCTGTATCTTATTTGCAAAGCAAGTAAAGCTTATTACAAAAAATACAATGATCAACATCCTGTTTGTTCTATAACATTTATTTTATAATAACAAATATTAAAGAAACATCCTATGAACCTGACCAGTCTAGCGTTTGGCCTTCAACAGCAACTGTTGTTGCTTAGGAAGGAAGGGAAAGACAGAACCATTTTCTGTGGTCCATTGCCCTCACATTTCCTCCCGAGACACAAGCCCATTCACTGTCTTGTTGACAGGAGGAACAATTCTGAAGCGGGATCCTAACTGAGGGACTGAAGGAAGTGAAGGTGAAAGCAGTGGCAAAGGAAGCAGTTTGGATATCCCACGCACACAGTCCTAGCTCTCTGCGAGCCTTCTCATCACTTCCAGAATGTCCCAGTTTCAGCTCCCCACTTGTAGAGGATGTTGAAAGAGGAGCTTCCAAGTTCTAATCAAAGCACTGAAATGCTGCAGTCGGCAGAAGCCTGCAGCTGACAAGACTCTGCGGACACCCTGCCCCACACAGAGCACACCATGTTTCGCTGTTTTCAAGGAGCATCTCAAAGCCATTGAGAGCATGTGCAGTACAGTCTACAAAMACTTTGGAGTATATCGAATTCTAGATGCAGAGTATTGCATGAAGCACATAAAACTCAGAGATGAGATTTAAAAGAAAAAAAAAAAGACATGACTTACAATCCCCAAAGGTAGAAAAACATCCGTCTGCTGCAATAAATATATTCTGGGCATTCCAAAAGAAAAAAAAAAAAAAAGATTCAAGTTCAAAATTTACAGCATGTTTAGGAGGTCTAAGGCATAAGGTAATTATTGCACAGCTTGTCTACTCATGAAAGCATTCATCTTGTGTCCTTCTTCTGCACATAAGAGAAAGCAATACTGCCCTGCATGTCTCATGAGCTACTTTTCCATTAATGTGTAATGTCCTTTTACAGTGCAGTGAGGATAATGAGCTTTAAACCTTGATGGGTCTTTATACCTTTGTCCTAAAAAACATTTGGGAAGAGGAGTAGCATGTTTCTATTTAGAAGACATAAGGCTGTTTTCTAATAACAGGGCAGATTTTCCTCTGGATTTCCAGGTGAAGATGGATTAGAGTTGATCACTATATTTTTGTGGAGGAACCATAATTAAAACTACTTCACATTTTCTCACTTCAAGAACACTTTCTCAAAGTGAGAAGACAGCTCAGAAGATTTTTGCATGTAAAGCTCCATATCTATTATCTATCCTTCAGTGTTTTTTCTCAAAAGGTGAAGACTCCCAACTCGTTTCACCCTGCTAAAAGGCTATCATCAACCAAGCTATGTGGTGCACAGTGAAACCATCTCCACAGAGTACTGTGAGAAAGCACAAGCTTAAGTAATCAGAAGAGCAGAATGAACTACTWCTAGCCTTCTACAGACACAGATCACATTATTACTTTACCTTAGATCTGTAATTCCTTAACTGAGGTTCACTAACTGGTGCCAAGATTCTCACTTATTCTGGTTGAACAAATTTGAAAAAAAAGATGAACTTTTCTGATGGGACACAGTTATTTTTGTCAAACTAGTGTTCACTGCGGATGAAGGCTCCATAACACCACCAAATATTCCACATTATAGAATTCTGGAAATTATGCATTGAGATATGGACTTTTTAAAAGAAAAAAAAAAAAACCAAAAACAAAAACAAAAAAAAACCCCACACACTCAAGAATCCCCAGACAGGCATTGCACAACTGTAACACAAACTGTGCTAAGCAGATTATTAATGAAAGGAGCTAAGAACTGCAGTGCTGCTAATAAAAGTTATGAATTCTCAAAATATTCATTTCCCAGGTACCACGAAGTACTTAGGGTATTTTTTGCTTTCTTTGGTAGTCTCACAATTGTCAAGCAATTGGACAGTGATGACTAATAAGAAAATAAATGACTGCCTTTTGTTGTGCAAAAATTCACAAGGAAACACTCCACCAGTTTTGCCAAAATAGTCATAAAATAATGCATATCAGAAATCCATTACAACCCACTCATGTTCAAGAGATGATACTGCAATGCCAGGACAGCAACATACACATCTAATACAGCTCGCTACAGGTGCGGCTCTCTATATCAGTCCTTAGCTTGGAAGAACTTTCATCCTTCAAACCGGGCCTCAAACACAGCTCTCAGTTTCTGCTTGTAGACTTCTTTTTTGTGTGTCTATTTCCCCCTCACACCAACAGTGAGTAGCTAAGGGGCACCCGCACTCCCCAGCACAGACACTGGGGTCACACCAGGGCTGGCAAAGCGAAGTGGCACACGGCTTCCTGCTGGGAGCGCCTGCTGTTCGGGTCCAGTCCAGCCTCTTTCTAGACAGACAAGGACTTGTCTGAATTCATTCTTGTGCCTACTAAAGCACTTAAAAACAAAACTAAACTAAAAAAAAATAAAATAAAATAAAATAAAATAAAATAAAATAAAATAAAATAAAATAAAATAAAATAAAATAAAATACTCTTGATTTTAAGCAACACCAAAGAAAGCACCACCACTCTAAGAAGTCAAGGATGCTCCTTTAAGTCAGAAGTCTATATAACAGCCTGAAAAAACTTATTGCACTAACAATAAAACTCTTCAAAACTCTAATCCTACAAAGCTAATGGAACACTTTGCAAACACAGGCCTGCATGCCCCTACCACAAGTCAGTGCTTTGCTTTGGTAACGAGATCCACCCAAGACCTTCTCTTGCAGATGCTTGTTAAGGGGAACAGCAGAGATGCGCGTTCGCGGCGGCTCTTGGGGCTCCCGCCAGCCCTGCCGCAGGTCGGCCGAGAAGACAGCGGCCCGTAAACACGTTACACAACGCGCCGCGGCCGAGAGTGGCCAAGGCGGCCCGGGCTCCGAGGGGGCACTCTGGCTCTCGCTTGAGACGCCCTCGGCCCTGCCCGCCCCGCCCCAGGGGCTCGCGAGCTGCGCGCAGCCCCGCGCCCGGCCGCCCGCAGCGGCGCTCAGGCCCCGCAGAGGACGCGGMCCGCCCGGCGGGGGGCGCCCCGCGGCGCCTCGTCCGCAGCCCTGCCCGAGTCGGTCCAAGCCAGCGGCAGGAGGCCGCGGCCCACGCGGGTGGCCCGGCCCCAGCCCGCCCCCCGTGACGCCCCGTCCCCGCGCCTCACCGCCAGGTCCTGGGGAACGGCTCCGCTCATGGCCCGCACTGTGCCGCTCCGCCAGGCCCGGGAGGGCAGCGCAGGCCCCGGCTCCAGCCCTACCGCCTCTCCTTCGCCCGGCCCCGCCGCCAGCAGCAGCAGGAGCCGCTTCCCCACGGGAGAGGCCGCCGCGTCCGCCATTGCCGCCGGGCAGGAGCCTCCGCCGCCGGCCGAGCCCGACGGCCGCCGCCGTCCCGAGAGGCCGAGCGAGCGCTTGCCCCGCGCTGGGCCTCCGAGCGCCGCCCGCCCCCGTCCCCGTCCCGGCGTGCCCCGCGCCGCGCCGCCCTCCTCCGGCCCACAGTGCCCCGCGCGGCATCGGCAGCGCCGCCGGGGCGGGGCGGCGGCCGAGCTGCCGGGAGCGGCGGCGCAGCCGGGGCCGGGCGGCCGCAGCTGGGGGAAGGACCCGGCCTCACGACCGGGTCGCTCCAGGCCGTCGGTGCCCAGGCCGCCCCGTTAACGCGCCGTGCGGGGGCCGGTGCTGCGGTGACGGCAGTGGTGGAACGGCGCTAATGGAAGCCAGAGCAAGGAGCAACTTGTACGTGACCGCAGAGGCTGTTCTTGTGAGAATAAGTGGGTTTGTTTGTTTGTTTGTTTTTCTCATTGATGCTAGAGGATAGGAAGACCTTCAGCTGGGGCAGACCTCCCAGCCGAAGCTGAGACTGGCTTTTTCAAACTTGTATTAATGATTTACACAGACCATGTAGACCCTGTAACATGAACTAAGCTTATACTCTCTTACCTATGTATGAACCATTTTAAAATTTACTGCCTTGGCTTTTATTATATATTAGAGCTAAAAGTTTCCCAGTCTAACTCTGCTATGTATTAATTTCAAGCACTAACTTACTGTCAAAAGGTAAAGACAAGTACTGTGGCTACAGGCTTAGCAGGCTGCAAAAACACTCACCCCAGCATTAAATTGTCATAACTCATAGGATAATACAAGCTCCAGGCTACCTCCAAAGCTGGCTTATAATCAGTGTTTAAGGTGTTTTCCATCCAGCCCATTCCAGTCCAAGAGACAGTCAATGCTCCAGAATTCAAAGAAAGTCACTTGCCAGAGCGATGGGTCAGGAATGTAATGAAGATCTGACTCACCTAATTTGAGAAGGAAAGTGAAAGTGGGACTGAGACTGCCCCTTACTTGTAGAGATTTTCCACCCTCCCCTTCAAAATAATTGCATTTCCGGCTACCCCTCCACAAACAGCAGCCACGTTCTTTGGAGAACTTTATTAAAATATATCCAAGAAATAATCAAACATTTTCTAATGAGTCAAGAGAGAACTGAAGTGTGAAAAACATCTGTACAGGGGACAATGCTGTAAGTTTTTGTTTACATGCTTTATTTTTTAAACATTTCACAGTTTAGTCATTGTCTACAAAAATATATTTCTGAAACTCTGAGTCCTCTATAAAAAAAGCTGGTCAGCAGCAGTGACCCTGACAAACAGAATGTACCTTAGGACAGTGTGAGCACCTCTTGTAAGCACATTAGTGCAGACAGGGCACTCCTCCATCACCCTGGAGACTTCTGTTCTTTGGGGTTAAAGCTCCACACTACTTTGAAGAATGGTATTTTAAGTGAAGGAAAAAAAAATATATATATATATCCTTCCACTTCTCTATACTGCACTAAACCTAGGAGAGGGAGCTGCAAACCAGTGTATCACACAGGAGATGGTGCTATCAAAGGATTTGGCACTCAGGGGATGGGAAAGACCACACAGTACTTTAAAATTGCTAAGTTTTTCTTCGAGCAATCTGTTCAGAACAGCCCTGCTCTCTGTGGTAGCAAGTTCAGTCTACAATGTTAATCAGAAGTACTAATGCCATTAAGACTAGAGCCCTTCTTTGAGGTGGAGTTACAGATTGAACAAAGTTTTATCTCAGCATCTTCTGCTGTGGCTTTAATCAAGTGAGAAGCTGCTTTCATATCTGATCAGAAGTCTACATGGTATTGGATAAAACAGCCACCATTATGAGTGCTGTCAGGCTGAATTCCTCCTTATCCACAGTTAGAAATATTTCTTATGACAAAATTTATTTTGTCCTGTCCTTACAAATCAGTAGTTTATCTAGTCATCAAATATAAGAATTGAGAAACTCAGTGTCCCCCAGATGAGATCTTCTCCACTTCTCTTCTGCTCAGAGAAGTTACTAGACAGGTCTTCAGCAATACTTACAGTTGGGAAAAAAAATGCTGCTTCTTAAAATGCATCTTGCATTCTGCTCTAGAAGAGACAAGATTAACGGACTCTGAGCCTCTGCATTTATAAAGTTCATAACTAGAAGCCCCTTACCACAAAATAATGTACATACTTGAACCTCTAAGGAGGGCATAAATTTTCAGTAGCAAATAAAACAGCAGTTACTGACAGACTGCTTCCCTACTACAGTAATAGAAAGAAAATCAGCTCTCAGGTCCTAAAGAAATATTTTTCTCATCAGCCTATGAAAACACCCTTCTGACCCAGTAGCTTGTTAAATTTGGATTTCTTGAGACAGTGAACTAAGACAAAATGCTACTGGTTATTGCAGGTACAGCTCCAAATGAAGTGCTCTGAGCTTCRGGCTTCTGCTCAAAAATTTCTCCCAGCTAGTGCCTACCATGAATTCCTAGTCTTGCCTGCTAAAGATGAGCAGCCAAGGAGGTACATGAATTTTAAATAGAATCAGCATCATTCAGGAAAACGTAAAACCCAAAAGCCGGTACCAATACAAATCCTTATCAAAAAAGACACTCAGTACTACAGAACTAACATCATCTCATTAGCGCTAAACAGTTAAAAATTCACAAGAAAAACACCTGAAGTTTACGTCCTGCCTGTTTTCTTTCCTTGACTTGCCAAGGAGGCTGGTGGAGACATAATCTATCACCTTACCGTATCAGCAGGAAGTTACACARTAAGCCAATATATGAAGACAGGATTGAAGAATAACTTAAAATCATTAACGAAAAAAAAAAAAAGCCTGAAAACTTAGTCTAAAAGCTTTGTTCACTTTCACAAACTGTGAACAGCTTAATCATGATTTTGTCCACCCCTCACTGAATCTTATGCAGTTCTATCAATAGACACTTCCAATATCAGAACTGTTCATCAAGTTGCATTCCCACTCTGTTCCCAGCTGTTCAGCTCCAAGAGACGCACAAAAAGAGGGAGAAAAGGCAGACAGGTCCACACACAGTACGTACCTCTGAAACAGCAACTTTTTTTAATATACCTGAGCAAGAGAAATCAATCAGGAGATGTTGCATCTCAAGAGAACTGTCAATTCACTGTGCATGGGAAGTCCATAACTAAAGATAAAATTAGGAGAAGATTTAGAATTAAGAAAAATCCTCTCCAGTGGAACTCATTATGCCACAGACTCCAACACCCTCAAAGAAGTGGTACACACTCAACCATTTGGTAAAAAAAGTGGAAAAGCCTTGAAAGAAACACTTCTGCCTTGCTCTCAGGTGATAAGCTAACTCTGCTCTCTTTCTCCCTTCATATTGCAGGGCTTGCCCATATTAAAAAGAAAAAGCTCTGTCTTGCTCTGGTGGCACAGTCCATCATTGTAGATGCAGTATATGCTAGCAGAAATACACTACCTAAAACAATTTGGTCAACTGTTAAAAGCTGCCTTCTTCATCAGCACAGACAATCACCAGTGCTGGTGTGGTACTTCTAGTTGATGCAGTTACATCAGTGAAATTCTGTAGCAGAGATAACATAATAGTTATCTTGTAGATAAACAGCATTATTAGACTGTGAGGTACTGTGTACGAGGAATCAGTGATTACAACTGCAAATTATTGCTACTTGCTATCCTTCTGGTACAAGTTTCTCCTATTTCTGCATTCTCTTGCTTTCTGAGGTACACAAGACCCCAGGGTGGGCGCTTCTGAAGCCTCACAAATACACATGGCACCAAAACATATCTGAGGACACTGTAACCATTTCCAAATCATTTACAAGAGTGAATGTGAGGCTGTCACTATTTCCTCTTTTACTTTCAGGCCTAATACTGCATAGACAAAACTTCATATGATAAAGAACTAGGAATGCCTGCACCATACCTGTTCTCACAAAAACCTTACTGAGGTTAATGAGCAAGGTAAAGGAGAGCTGAACCTTTTGTATAGGGCAGAATACAGACAGTATTCATAACCTCTCCGGTTCACTAATCTTGTCTTAATGTTCCCTGTGCTTACACTTCAAGAGATTTAGCCAAAAGAATCTTAAGCTGCTACACATCACAACTGAAAAACGTGCACTGATGTCTGGCTGTTAGTACCTCTCTCAGCTCCACCTCTCCTCAGTTCAAGTGCACGAGGACAGTTCCCTGTTACAGACAACTGAGGCAGATATATGGGAAATCACATTGGTTAAACCAAGTATTTCCAAGGAGAGGCAAGGTCACTGCTGTCCTGCCCCAGAGAAGGAGAAAGATTCATCAAGAGATTAAAACTAAACAGGTTACAAAATAAAGGCAAGAGCTAAAGTTTGCCAGTAATGAAATGCATTCTCCTGTCCTGTATGAACAGGAAATGGTCTCTGTAGGGTGTTAAAAAGTCCTAGGAGGATATACCCCCCCATTCTTTTTTGTTGCCAGAAAAGAGGAGAGGTTGCTACTGGTCAGCAGGAATCTCTCTGTCTGCATCCAGTTTGCTCGTCTCTCCTGGGGAAGGGGTACGTGGAGCAGAATGAGAAACAGAAGGGATCCCATGAGCTACAATCCCCTCCACGACTGGTGGTTCCGGCAGCCCAGGGGTTGCTACCCCCACTACTCCTGGAGGAAACCTGAAATCAACAGAAACATGGAAATTACACATTTGTCAAAAGGAGCTGAGCAGAGGGAAAGAAGTTGTGCCCTCATCCACCTGCTGAATACGAATCCCTCTTTCTAGCAAAGCCATGCAGAGATGGAACACAGAAAATATCTACAGAGCTGAACAGTGTCAGTTATTTCCTAATACCAGACAGGCAGAGATAAAATCAGGTTGAATGTTAAATATTTACAGAACAGGTACAAAATTTCTCTCCAACAGAAAATTCTGTGAAATACTGCATGGAGGTACCATGAAGGGCTGGAAATTCCCTCCCCATCAGCAGAAGTGCAAGATGTCAACTATCCCTCACTAGCTGTAAGACAGGAAGGAGGAGGAAGAAAAAAAATAAGAAAATTGATAAGATAGAAAAAAATAGGAAAGACTAATAAATGTCTAATAAACCCTTTCCTTCCATTCTGCCTCCCTGTCTTCCCTGTGACTATATCTGGAGCTATGTACATTTCTTAGAGAATATATTTCCTACTTTACACATGGGAAAAAAACAAAAGGGAAGCATGATGCTCACAACAACTTGGCAAGTCTGACAAATAGCCTGAGATACACCTTGTTTAGGCCAATGTCCCATGCACTGAACAATGCATTTCATAAACCATTCTCTTATTTATAGCCCAAGTTTGCAGTTTAGCTAACTGTTCTTTGCTTATACAGCAGTAATGATATGAACAACTTTTAAATGTTAAGATACTCCTTATCAGCAACCTAACAGGTTTTCAAATATACTAAGACTCTTGGGCATACCTTGCAAGGATTTGTAAAAATTAATTGGTAATAAACACAAACAGTAAAACATTGAAATGTCAGTACAGTTCCAGAAGCTTTRTGTCTCTAGCCAATTGATGACAGGTTGCTGTTAAATTATTGGAAAAAGCCTATACCACATATCATATAGGAATGTATTTGATTTCAGGCATAAGGAATCCTCAGACACAAAGAGACATGTTGTCCTGCTTCAGTAGAAAGAAACCTATCCATAAAAGCAGTAACTGAGACAACCTACTTATCTCACCTGTAAGCTGCAGCACCATTGAGTTCAGGGTGGACAGTCGCAGGATCAATACCAGACCATTGAGCTGCTAACAGCAAATACTCTTTATTAACACAGTTCCTCAAAGCATCAGGTATGTGACCTGCCGGAGCACCACAAATAACAAACGAAAAACAAAAACAGAGACAAACAGGAAGAACTTATTTCCAGAAATATTTGAAAAAGAAAGCAGAAAAGAAATGCTGAACATCCTTTCCCATCTATTTCTCATGGGATAACGCTGGGCAAGGGAAATGGTCTTATGAAAAATTGATCTCTGGAAACCTACAGGAAACTGAACTTTCCTTTTCACTTCTGAGATCTTAGAGATACTAGTAGTCACATAAACTGCAATTGCCAGGCGTCACCTTTCCCAGGAGACAGTGGGTGCTACTCCAGAATAAGGTAGACAGTATAACTGTCCACGGAATTATTGCAAAGAATTGAGATGTACACGGTGAGAAATACAAAGCTATTTTACAGAGGGAAAGTGCCACTCCAGCATTAGCTACAAGATTCTTGCAAGACAAAGAGACCATTGGCATTCACTGACAGTAAGTTTTAGGAACAGCCAGCAGTTCCCATTCCATTATCCTTGCAGTGAACTAACAAAAGAATCCTTATCCAGCAGCAGCTGCAGAGCACACCACTTTCCTCATTACCTGTAATAGCTCTGCGGATCTCTTTTGCTGCATCTTCTCTGGATTCAATGGAAGCCTGCTCACTGTACCAGGCTGTGTGAGGGGTGCAGATCACATTGGGTGCATCTTTTAAGGGCCCCTGAGCAAAGCTGTGATGAAAAAAAACAAATGTGGTTTCTCCCCGGAAGTGATAATCCCAGCTGCCCTCCCAGGTATTACCATAAGTCAGAATGAAAGAATCGCCCAGTGCGGGGGAGTCGCAGAACAGCAGTAAGCACAGAGATCCAGTGTTACCTGAAAGGCTCGGACTCATGTACATCCAACGCTGTTCCTCTGATTCTCCCCTCCTTCAAGGCTTGTGCTAAGGCTTTCTCGTCTACCAACCCTCCTCGGGCTGTGTTCACCAAGAAGCAGCCTTGGCGCATCTGGAAAAAGAAAAAATTAAGTGGGTTGAGAATGAAACTATTTAATGGAAGCAAAGTGAAGTCTACTAGAAATGGGTAGGAGCCTGCAGCAATTGGAAGAGGCCTGGACAGTCAGAGAACAGACTAGGAATGCTCTCACTCCCAAGCTAACCACAGGGAAAATGCCTGCAAGCAATGCTCAAGAAATATACTTTAAAATAAATAAATAAACCACAAAATAGCAGGGGTAGAAGTGGAGGAGCTCAAGTTTTGCACTCCAGAGTCATCCTATTACTAATAAATAAAAATAAAGAGAACATGAATCAAGTATTCAGTTATACAAAGCTGGACCTTGATGTTCAAGCGTCTCTCACGAAAGCACTGAAAGACATTTAGACTCCTGGAACAACGCCCGAGACTGGCTTTGCAGTGGGCTTGGGCAGAGAGGTTTTGGCAGAGCTGCATAAAGAAGCTTAGTCTCAGCCGCACCACTCCTGGCTCTAACCAGCAGTTACTCATTTTAAAGGTAATTTGAAACTATTTGATGACCTAAAAGATTGTTTATAAACAAAATTACTCAGCAAAAAGAGCCAGTCCTATTCTTCTCCTAATAAGAAATTCTATACAGCACAAAGCACAGGCACCCGGATCCACACGCCCCCAGACCCCAAAGGCAGCAGGAGGCACACAGCAGAGGCAGCAGGATTCACACACTCTCAGCCTCTGGGGAAGCAGCAGCTTGCGTTCGCATTCATTTCCACAGTATTCTGTGGGGGAAACCAAGCTCCTGCTGCACCTGTTTAATAGTGAAGTCATTGATGAGGTGATGGTTATGTTCATTCAGGCTGCAGTGCAATGTGATGCAATCGCTGTGCATTAGTAGATCCTGCAGGGTTCCTACTCGCTGTAAACCCAAGGATCGCTCCACTCCATCCGGCAGATATGGATCATAGAAAATCACGTTGAAGCCAAAGGACTTGGCTCGCAGAGCCACTGCCTGTCCAACTCGGCCTTCACAAAAGAAAACCCACAATCACTTTAAAGACAAGATACTGGGGGAGACTGGGAGCCTAGACTGAGTTTACTGCCATGGCCCAAAATACTGCAGCCCTGGAAACCCCTAGGACTGCCACAGGGATCCAGAGCAGAGGATTCAGTGTTGATCCCATGCTGCTTACTCTAGTCTTTCCCCATGCAATAGCCTGCACTTAGCCTAAAAGGAGGTGTTTTTCAAACCAAAYCTGTACTCTGAGGCAGTAAGGCAGTAATAACCTGATTACAAGAGCTCAAGGAAGTTTTCAGGTGGCTTTGTTAATGATACGGAGCATGTCACGCTGGGAAACAATCACTGGGAACAGGTGTCTGAATGTTGCAATTTTTCTAACCACTTGAGTAAGAAAAACCCCAATCCCATGACATTCACGCTACTCTTGAAGATGTCCAACATCACAGAATAGGGCACTAGCATGCCATATGAGTTAGTGTTTCACAATGAACAGCTGTAAAATTATCCACCACAGTCAGTGATTCCCGAGTTCCCCAAAACATTCACAGATCACCTTTTAGTCTAACAATCACCATCACTTACCAAGTCCAATGATGCCCAAAGTCTCCCCACGGATACGCACAGCACCTCCAGCCACTTCTCGAATCTGTTCTACACTCGAGGCTCGATTCCCTTCCCGCATAGCCTGATGTAGCCACGTAACACGGCGATAGAGGTTCAAGATGTGACAAAGAGTGGAGTCAGCAGTTTCCTCTACTGAGGAGGAAGGGATGTTGCAAACTGCAATGCCTACAAAGCCACAGAGTTCAAATGAGATTTTTACATCACACTAATCCAACATGCAGCTCTTAAGGCACAAGGGCTAGAAGACAATTCTGTACATCAGAACTACTGCCAATGAAACACACAGGATACACTTCAGAAGCTGATTCTACAGTAACATAGATAGGACCAGCCAGCATTCTAACCTCCAGAAAACACAATTTCTTGCTTCTAAATATCCATTAGACTGTCACCATTGCCAGATAATCAGTCTGAAATGAGAAACATGGATGACAAAAAAAAAAACCCAACAAAAAAAAAACAACAACACCCACTATTTTAACAGGTCTATATCCAAAAGACAAACTTACACCAGAGGCATTCCTTCCTGACATTAACTGACAGATTGTAGAAGAATTAAGAAGATAGATGGTTGAGCACTTTCAGGCCTCACATTCCAGATGCTCATGGCAAGCATTAGCTTCCCCAGGAGTGACAGTAACTTATTAAATGCAGACAGAAGCCATAGGTGCCTCCTGAAATCCATTTGAAATTACATTTAAAAATAGCAACACATAATGCTCTTACTCTAGAGGCAACATATAGCCACAAGGGACCATAAAAGCCATGTCTAGAACCATGAGGTAAATTACTAATGGTAAAGTTAAGGTCCTGAAAGCATACATTACTGACAGCATATAGGAAGATGTCAGAGCACTACAGCAAAACCTAGTAATTCCTGAACAGTCCACCAGAATAACGGGCTGATAATATCACTGCTACCATCCTTCACTCAATGATCTTTTGCTCCTGAATGGACATATCTACAGATTTTTTCAGCTGACAAAGCCTCTGTTTACAACTAGTTAGATTAAAAACGGCTCTCTTCCACAGCATAACCCTAGCCACTTGCCAAACCTCAGAAGCTGCCACAGCAACTTCTCCTCAGAAGTCCACCAGCTAACTGAAAAGTAGGAGTGAAATCTGGGTGATGACTGAAGGCACGTACAATTCAGTTTACAATAGAACTGAAGGACTATGACATAGCAGATATTCAAATAAACTCAGACCACACACACTCACAAAGAAACAAGGAGAATAATACAATCCCAGATATGAGATCTCTTTTCTCTATCCGGATCTTTCACAATTGTGCTGTAATACCATACAGAAGACACAGAGAAGATGAAAGAGGGAGATGGAAACCTAACTTCTTTTAATCTGCTTAATATCTCATCCAACTTCAAAAAAGCTACGTATGTTCGTTCATCTGTTACATAACTAGACAAGACACAAACATGTTTTTGCATGTTTGTTTACATGTTTTACATAAAATACAATGTACAATGTACAAATGTAAAAAACCCAAACCCACACCATWGTTATTGAGTCTGATTTGACTATTTTTCGAATATTTAAAACTCAAAGAATGTCTCCAAAGGAAGCAAGGGGCCAGGCTAAGCATAGAAAACATCTATAAGGAGGATATCTGGCCATGCCCAAGGCACACCACATGCTCTTTCCCGCCTCCACATGAAAGCAGGAARCACAATTTGATGGGAAAAGAACTCTGACTTATTGTTAAAGATTGTGGCAGGGAGAAAAAAGGAAAGCTTTAATTCTGAATGAGTCAAAAATATGAATTGAAACTATAAAAAGCAAAAAGGCAAAAACATGGTCTAGCTTCCATGAATGCAACCAGAAAATGTAATGGCTGGATGACAGTCAAAAATCTTGACAGGAACATTTGAGAATGTTCAGTTAAATCATTCAGAAGCAAAGAGTTGTTACCCTAATTCAAGTGCTGCACAGACAGGTGTTCTTCATTTATTTGCAACTTACTTGTTCTTATAGATTTTGAAAATTGGTTGTGTTTGAATTTTATAAATTTCTGCTTGCATTTGCAATCTACTTAATCTACTTTGCGTTAGGAAAGGTTTCAATTCACAGACACAGCTCTAGAAAGGAAGGAGCATTTAAATGATAAGGTCCAAATACCTCATTGCTGTGTTCAATAAAAAAACAGTTTTTTGTCATCTGATCCAGAGTACACATTTCTGAACTCCAAGTTTCTAGAAGGATCTATAACGACGTACTGAATCAGAATGTACTTGCACATAAAAGTTCATACACACACAAAAAAACAAGTATCTACAGTGAGTTTGCCCCACATCAATATTTGCAAGTTTTCAGACATCACATCTTACTCAATGCTTTTCCCACAAACAGTCCCAAATTACCTCACCAAGAAGAAATTACCTAGGTAATGTATTTAGGCTTCAGAATCCCAGACAGYAGCAAAGGTTCTGTGACATCTATAGCACAGTAACGCGAGAAACGCAAATCATTCTTAAGCCACCTACCAGCTCAGACACCTGTTTTCTTCCTAAAGATGCCCAATACTAAACAGCTTCAGAGCTTTCTACTTAAAGGTGTTAAAAACAGTCAACTAGAAGCGGTAAGCCACATGTGGTGAGGCGAAACAGTGTTGCCATACCTAACTCTGCAGCTGATTTAATGTCCACATTATCGTAGCCACTGCCAATGCGCACAATGACCCTGAGGGCTTTGAACTTCTCTAGATCCTGACGAGAGAGGGTAATGGTGTGATACATCAGAGCGCCTACTGCCTCATTCAGCACCTACAAATAAAAAACAGTCCAAGTCAAGCAATCAATCTCTATCAATCAACCTTCCTGCCCAAATGCTTACACGTTCTCATTTGCACCTTTTCATGGATTTCCTGAGTTGACTGGGCATCACAGAATGCCACCGTAGCAACGTCCTTCAAGATGGGCATCTCCACAGTGCAATCCCTTCCGTCCAAGAGCGCAACCAGCGGGCGAGCCGGCATGGGGCCATTCACAATCGGAGGGCGAATGCCTGTTGAAGGAAGTCAGAACATGGGACTGTGTGGTAGAACATGGGACTCCTTCTGCAGCCATCGCGTGGGGGGATCTAAAGGTTTCTTTAGTCCCAAGAGGCCACTAGCTCACTTTAATGTCTGTTGTATGTGGGTAGGAATTAGTCCAAATAAAAGAAGCAAACAGCAAAAAAAGATCTCAGGAAAAAGAAGACAGAAGAAAAAAAAAACTCTGCGACTGCCACTCCAGCGCTTCCTCCGCGGCCAGAGGCGGCGCCGGGCGCCCGAGGCGCCGACTCAGCCTCGCGCCGGCACCACGGCGACACCGGCTCCCGCCGCGCAGGGCCCGGCAGGAAGTGGCGCTGCCGGCGCCGCGGGGCCTGCCCAGGGCGCTCGCACTCCCCTCACCTTCGCAAATCCGGTCCAGCCGCTGCCGCTTCACTTTGTGCCGGTCCATGGGCCGCGCCGGGCCGGGCCGCGCCGCCCCGCGGCGCTGCGAAGGGACCCGCCGCCCGCGCCCGCCGCGCTGCAGCTCCCGGACGGAAGCGGAAGGGCCAGTCCGAGGCCCGCCCAGAAACCATAGAGCCGCCGCAGCACAGAGCACTTCCGGCGCCTCCC